CTCAAGGGCGTGGCCCGCAAAGAACTTCGCGATGACGTCGCTCGCGTCGATTTCGTGCGTGACGTGGCCCATCTCCTCGCGAGGCTCAAGGGGCGAGGGCAGGGCAAAGAAGCGGAGCTACTTGGCGGCTCGCAAAGGGAGGAGGAAGGATCGAGGGGCGGCCTTCTGAAACAGATACATCGGCGTGGCGCACAATTCAAAGCAAGGCAGCAGGAGCGCCAATGCTCGGCAAATCAACGCGACAGAGCGGGCCGGTCGACAGCAGCGCCGCAGCGCTCTGGAGCAACCGATCGGCTCGACAGCAATCGTGCTGATCAAGCACAATCGAACATACCCAGAATGTGTGGAAGCTGGTGAACACATCCCCACAACGCCCACGGGATGTCACCCGCCCCGTCCCAGTCGCCGGCGTGCGCCGACCTCCGACGCTTCATGTCGTTCACCTGCGCCTTCTCCTCCACCGTCGTTCGCCCATGCTCTTGCTGCAGCCGATGACCTCGCGCTTGCCGTACAGCTTGCCGTGTCCGGTGTGGTTGCACAGCTCCCTCCGCATCACGCGGACTCCATCAGCAGAGATTGCCGCGACGCCCTCATTCCGAATCTTTTCCCATCTCATGAGAGGCCCACCTTGTCTTACACGGGGGAAACCAACAGTTACCCATACCGCTACTCCCCGGACCTCTCCCGGCGTGCGTTCTGACCAGCACTTCGAGACGAATCCAGCGGTGGCGACGAGGGCCTCCCAGGCGACCCAAACATGGGGAAGACGGGCGGTTGGTACCGGTATCGGCTTCTGTTCCTTTTCTAAACTTTGTCTTGCACACCACGGGCGCAGGTCCTGACGACGATGCGGCCCTTGCAGTGCGCCTCGGGCACACGGGAAAACACATACCTCGGATCACAGACACCCCACTGGTGCCGTCGCTCTGCCGTCACGCTCTTGATGCCCCCACGAAGTCCAGGCCGACAGGTCCCACAGGAAGCTGTCCACCACGACCACGTCAGGGAACTACTCCCCCACCATGTTCGCGGACCACTTCTACGGAAGCTTGCCTTGAGATATGGGCTGCCCAAGATGAGAGCCCCAGTGGGTGCGATTGTGGAAGGGCGGTTGCAGGTCACCATTGATGCCCACCCCAGGGAAAAAGACGAAACCGATGGAGAGCTCGCGCTCCTCGTCGTAGCACCCCACTCGATGAAGCCGATCGACGTTACCGCGGGATCCCTTCTCGGCGTTCCTGTCCACAGGACGCCAAAGGATCACAACCGAGTGGTTCGAACCGCGCAGCTGTGTCAGGGCGCCTGTGTCGACATGCAGCCCGCTTATCCCTTCTGTTTGCCTCTTCAGGCCGAGAACCCACAGGGGAGAAGGATGGAGGAGGGGAGCAGCAGGGGTGGGCATGAATATGCAAGCAGAGGGCCAGAGGAAACGAGAGGAGGGGGAGATCCGACAGGGGGTGGGGAGAGGCAGAGCAGAGAAGAGAAGAGAAGAGAGGGGGAGAAGGAGGCCGAGTAAGACCTAGGGAGCTAAGAGAGAGGAGGAGGGTATAGGGCGTGCGTGTCGGGAGACGCCCTGCAGCCTGAGAACTGCAGGGTGCAACGGGATGGCGAAACTGGTGGCGAGAACGAAAGGCGGGGAGAACGCAAGAGGAAACGCCGAGCACGGAGGGCCGCCTGGGAACCTACTAGGAGGCGGCCAAGGAGGAGGAAAAGAGGCTGATGAGTGGGGAGGGAGGAATAACGGGGGATATGTCGACCCCGATCCCTAACTTTGTGGGTATTCGAACGAACCAGAAAGTTCAGGTCAAACTCGAGGATATACAAAGGGGGGTGGCCAACCTCGATAGGGGTGCGTCCGAATAGCCCCCCAGAGGCGTATCCCCGAGTTTCCCCCCGTTTCTGAGCGGCCAATTTGTTCGGGCGGAACTCGGGGACTGAGGTCGACAAATCACCAGCGGAGGAAGAGGAAGAGGAGGGACGAAGAGGAGTTGGATGTGGAGGAGGCGGGATGGGACGAATCGCCGATAGGAGAACGGACAGCACGGGATCGCACGGAAAGGGAATCACAGAGCAGGCACCTGCACGGATGGAGGGCGGCTCCTTTCCCAAATGGTGCTCTCGCCGGACGCTCCACTGAGCTCCATGCACTAAGGTGTGCCTCGCACTCTGTGGTTCCTACTCCCCTTGCAGGCACGAGGAGCGGTGGTCGGGGCAGGGAGCGAGGGGCGAGGAGCGGTGGGCGGGGCAGGGAGAGGGAGAGGGCGACCTTTCCTCCTCCTCCTCCTCCGCCTCCTCCTCCGTAGCCATTTGGCTCAAGACACCACAGCATTTCACTTCTGGTCAGGTCCAGGAGCTTGGGGCTCGAACTTTTCGCGTTCGATCCGCCCCCAGAGTTTTTGTTCGGGTCGTTCCCCTCCAGTCTGCCATGCCCGCCGCGGTCGCACGCCTGGTACCAGGCTCCATCGCCTTCACGTTCTACACGGACAGTCAGAAGGAGGAGCACGAGTGTGGAGTGACCAGCGCCTACACCATCCAAGACTTCTACACCGAGCAGAGGCACTACAAGGTCGTCATCGATGCCCCAGGCCATCGCAACATCAACAAGGACGTCAACCTGCAGAAGAAGTCTGCCAACATGGGCTGGTGGAAGGGCTGCGATGTCACGTACGGCAAGGACTGTGTCACCCACAGATACAAGCAATTCCGCTATGCCGAAATCGCGAACGAAATGAATATCATGCTGGTCAAGGACGGGTGGAACAAGGACTTCGACAAGAAGGCCACGCCTGCTATGCCAGTCTCCGGCTGGATGGGCGACTACGTGCTAAGAGGTCTGACAGCATGGACTGGTGGAAGGAGTGCGTCGTCGAGAACGGCAAGACTGTGGAGAAGAACTGCGCTGACTGGCTAAAGGAGTCTGACAACATGGTCTGGTGGAAGGGCTGCGATGTCAAGTTCGACAAGGCCGACGCCCACCGCAGCGCTGAAGTCCATCGCGTTCCATCAATTTGTTTGCCTTTTCTGCCAGCCTTCGATGTGGCTGGCCAGCAGAATCAGTTGTGCATGATGCCAAGTGTTGCAGTGTGTCTGGTATGTGGTCTGGGGCGGGGCAGAGACCTCGCGGAACGCCTGGGGCGGGGCAAAGGCTTCGCAGAATGATGAATTGACCTGTTGGAGCGGAGATGTCCGCGGGACTAGTCTTCCCCGATCTCCTTGTGTTGCTTCAATTCAATGTTTGTGAAGAGTTTGACCAGGCAGGTCGAGAGCCTCACAGGAGGTGAGGTGCTTCCCTGCGTCAGCGTATGCAACACTTTCTGCGTGGCATAAATTCACTCCAGTTGCAAGTATAGCCAGTCGGATTCCACTCACTGCTTGCCTAGAAGGCGCGTGGGCCACTTTCGCCCAAGCCGAAAGGTCGGTGGCCCTCGCGTGCTGCCTGGAGTCCCCACACCTCCACAGGAGGCGGCTCTTTCTTGGTGCACGCTCCCTGTCTCCCACCACGCGCTGATCCTCCGCCTCCTCCTCCTCCGCCTCCGCCTCCTCCTCCTCCGCCTCCGCCTCCTCCTCCTCCTCCTCCTCTTCCTGGCACTTGGGATGCTGATCTGGGTCGTCGCCAGGTGGCCGCACCTCGCCGCCTCGTCGCTGCCCGGCCGGTGCGCTGGGCGGGGCTGCCGGTCGCCGCCTCAAGGGGCTCCCCGTGCGCCGGCGCCAGCACTTCCGGGGTTTCGTCTGGTGGCTGCCCGTTTTGGCCTCATCGCCGACCGCCGCCCCCTGCGCTGGCTGGACAGAGCTTGCACCATGGATTGCGCCACCCAGCTTGGCCAGCACAGCTGCACCACATCGATCGGGCCACGTAGCTTGCACCCCACAGCGTGCACCGCATCCCGTGCACCACGTGGCGTGAGTCGTGTATCTTACGCCACGTAGACTGCACCACATTGCTTCTATCGCACAGCCTGGACTACATACGTTGCACTACATCGCTTGCACCACAGTGCACCACGTGTAATGTACCACAGATTGCACCCCGTCGCTTGCACCAGCTTGGGCCACAAAGCATAAGCTGCGCCACGTAGCTTGCACCACGCATCCGTTACATCCTGAGTGCAAAAACTCAGAGCTTGAGGACCACGCTGGCAGCAGGCATGATCATCCCCTTGGCCATCTCACAGATAGCCGCTGTTCAGAACGTGGCTCTCGCCAAAATGGCAAGCGCCTGTCGTGGCAGCCTGGCTGCGCAACCAAATACTGGCAGAGCTTCGCGCAGGGCAGGCGGGTCCAGCGGGCACCAGCGGTGCCCCCCCCCCCCCGCACCCCCAATCTTCACGCAAGCGACGCATGCGGACTGGATCTGCAGACGCCCAGCTGCTTCGAGAGCTCAGCCTCCTCTGCGGCACAGAGGCGTCGGGCCTAGCGCAACGGAGCAACGGAGCCTGCACTCACAACATCACATGTCGCGCGAACAAAACGGGAATAATGGTTACGAGCTCCACCTTCCAGGGTCGCCCAGAGCAGCCGCGATGGCCACGGTCACTCGCGCTCTGGTACTTTGCCCCTGCCCCTCGAGTGGCCTGGCACCAACACTGGCACGCAACTCTGCTTTTTCGACAACCAGCTCCGCACATCCTCTAGGCGTGTTCTTCTTTATGTAAAAGAGGTTGGGGAGGTGAAACCTAAATCAAACGTGAGCTGCCCCGACCGATTCCTTCGTACGTGACGAGCGTGCGGGCGAAGCGAGGCGAAGCTGCTTCCTTGAAGCTGCGCGGGTTCCAACCAACATGGGGGCCAAATCAGGCCAACATGAATCGCCCGTTCAATTGTGCTCGCGCTCTCGCCATGTCGGAGTTCTGAACGCTGAGACTGTTCCAGAAGCCCCCCAAGATTGGCCCCACACGGCCGATAAGGTCCTCAAGCGGGCCCGCAGATGACCCAAGTTGGCCCACCAAGACTGTCCAGAGGCTGCCAAGACAGCCGAAAAGACCTCCAGAGGGCCCAAGGGGGGCCAGAGAGGCCCAAGAGGTGGAACTCGTAGGGACCCTGGGAGCCCTCCACCTCACAAGATGGCACCCCAACGACGCCCAACCTGCCCCCAAGATGCCTCCAAGAGACCCCCGAGCAGCCCCTGAAGGGCCCCCCAAACCACCCAGGAGCTCTGAAAAAACGTCCACGACGCCGCCCCCGAGGCCTCCAATAGGCCCTCAAGAAGCCGAGCGCCAGACGCGGAGGAAGAGTGGACAACACAGAAATGAGTAAGACGGGTGTATTCGACAAGTACCCCTTAGATAAGCAATCCAGGGTCTGGAAGCCGGTGGAACTCCAATCGCCGCCGCCCTCACCAGATAAAGAATCCTCCAAGGTCTGCACTTCTGGGTACACTCCTTAACGAACGCCCCAACCGTACACGCAGGCAACACGACGGGACGCGACAAACAAAACGTACGGCATCGGAGGCCGAACGCCTCCCTTTCTGGAGGGACCGCGGAATGGATCAAGCCTCTGGAATGATTAGGTGGGTGTGTATGTATGTATGGATGGATGGATGGATGGATGGACGGATGGATGGATGGAGCTATGCATGCATGTACGCATGCATGGCACAATGTTTTTGGCCACTTAGAATGTTGTCCCTGGCAGTCGTGGTTTTGACAGTTTAGTCTCGAGCAAGCACGTTTTGCAACAAACTAGAGTTTCGCAAACTTGATCGTCCCGTTTTCTGGTGTGATCCCCTCGATCTCTCCGCACGTCAGAGGTCGTGGGTCTCAGGCTGGGGCTCTGTCGGGCCCGTCGGCTGAGAGACCACCACATAGGGTGGGTTTTTTTTAGGCCCGCCATAAAGCTGGGGCATCGCTCCGTTTGAAGGAGAGTTGCGAGCTGCGTTTCGTGCACTAGCTGGTGATGCTTGAACCTCGGGGCTAATGATGTGAATGAATGAATGGATGTATGTATGTATGTATGCATGTATGTGTGTGAGTATGTACGGATGTATGTATGCATGTATACATGTGTGTATGTATGCATATGTACACATGTATGTACGTACGTATGTATGGTTGTATGCATGTATGCATGTATGTATGTATGTGTGTATGTATGTATGTATGTATGTGTGTGTATGTATGTATGTATGTATGTATGTATGTGTATATGTGTATGTATGTATGTATGCATGCATGTATGCATGTATGTATGTATGTATGCATGCATGTATGTATGTGTGTATATATGTATGAATGTATGTATGTGTGTATGTATATATGTATGTATATTTGCACGTGTGTATCTATGTACGTATGTATTCATGTATGTATGCATGTATGTATGTATGTATGTATGTATGCATGTGTGTATGTGTGGTTGTATGTGTGTATGTATGTATGTATGCATGTATGCGTGTATACATGTATACATGTATATAAGCATGCATGCATGCATGCATGCATGCATGTATGCATACAGACATGCATGCATGTATGTATGTAGGCACGCACGTATATATGTATGTAGATATGTATGTGTACGTATGTATGCATGTATGCATGTATGTATGATTGCATGTACGTATATGTGCATGTGTACGTGTGTGTACATGTATAGCTATAGATATGTATTGTGGGCCCCGGAAATCCTGAACCCAAAGGGGTTGCCATCTCTTGGGGGGCCGGATTTGACTTCTGCTGGCGTCTGGCGGCCTTCCACCGGCGAAGGCGGCCCCACTTTACGTCGACGGGGTCGCGCCACCGTTCCGCCGCTACACGCCGCCGCCGAGGGAGAGACGGCAACTCTTTCGATCCTCGAAGGCGAGGCCCTTTCTGGAATGCCACATTTACAGACATACACACACTATACACTTATGACATATGGCGAAACACATCGGCATGTATGCAAGTACCTCTTCAGACAGACAAGCTGGTGAATAGAGGGAAGTAACTATAAGCAGACAGAGCACCGAATATACCGACATGTGGAAAGGTAGCTAGATGAGTCGACATAAACGCACATACATCTACAGTGTACAGTGTGAAAATGTGTATACACATCTATATATATATATATGCAAATATGCATCTTGAGTCATCCATTGTGTCTCATCCACCCATCCCCCCCATCCTTATTATTACTCGAAGGGTTGTCAATGTGGCATGGCCTGCTGCGCCCAACTCACACTCTGAACGACACGGGAAGACGGGCGGAAGTAAAATAAAGACATGTTCACCAGTCTGAGAAACGCATCCTGTGGGTGACAATTGGGGCCCGATAAGCACGACCCGGGGAAGAGGTGCTCACCTGACGACTGGATGGGAGCGCGCGAATCCTGCGCATTGTGGTACCAGTCCTCTGCTGAGCCGCTTCCGCCGAGGCGCGACAAATCAGTAGCGACCCCAAGACAACATAAGACTTCTGTCATGGCCTCGGATGTTGGCACGTCGAGGCGGAGGAGGAACACTGTCACACCATGTGAGCCGCGCCAACTACTTATTTGACTAACCGACACGTTTCTCTCCGGGCTCGACATCACTCGTCCTCAGACTGGGCCGATGGAGGCTCAGGGTGCCTGACAGCCCTCTTCGTGGCACAAGGCCAACCCTCCTGGGCACGCCTGTTTGGACATCGCGCCCCGACTGTTGCTGTTCGTCGAATCATGTCCCGTATCACCGCTGCCAAAACCTGCTTGGGTTGCGGAGTGAAGGGCGGGAACGGCCATTTTGTTGATCGGCGACCGCGAGAAGTTCGGCAGCGTGCGGGCGACGGCTGGGCGCGGAGCCAATTGCGGTCACGAAAGACGGGGGAGGCGCGCGCGGGAAGGAGAGCCAGAGGGCCCTGGGGGCGAGGGGGCCACGCTCAGGTCATGCAAATCTTTGCGTGCGTGCCGAGGCGCACGGGCATGGTCACATCGACAAGCGAAGTCAGAAGCAACATCAGCCACGTGCGGACACCGCGGCAACATGTTGAGAGAGGAAGGGGGGACGACAGGGGAGCGTCCGGCTCGAAGTCGTAGTCGGATCCAGGCCACGTGTGTCCTCCGTTCTCGATGGTGAACAGCACCACGTCGGCCCCTGCAGTCTGAGGGCAACGTGAGCAGGGAAACTCTCCGACCCACGTCTGCAGTGAAACTCTCTGCCCGAAGTCGGCAGCCGACTTGCTTCTCGCATCCTTCTCCTCCTCCTCCTCCTCCTCCTCGTCCTCCTCCTCCTCCTCCTCCTCCTCCTCCGCCAGCTCCTCCTCCTCCTCCTCCTCCTCCTCCTCCTCCTCCTCCTCCTCCTCCTCCTCCCCTCCCACACAGTGCTTACACTCAGGACTTCGTGCTTATCTAGCTTCAGCAATTGGTTGGGTCTTCTAGGTGTTCGGCTGGTGCTTGCCCGTGGGCGCCCAGGGGCACCTCGTAGGCATGCCGAGGTTCCGGGCGGTGCCCGCCCGTCGACGCCTCGTTGGCGCTCGTGGGCGCTCCGCGCTGGGGGGGGAGGGGGGGGGGGCATGCCGAGGTTTCGCTTGGTGCCCGCCCATTGGCGCCTCATGGGCGCCCCGCGTTGAGAAGGCATGCCAAGGTTTCGCCTGGTGCCCGCCCGTGGGCGTCTCGTGGGCGCCCCACCCGTGGGCGCCTCGTGAGCCTCCTTTTCCCATAAAAACAGATTCCGCCACCATCCCCGCGCCCCCCTGGGGTTAGGGGGGACCCCCTGGACAAATTACATATGATTCTGCCCCATCGCTCAATTTCCAAATGTCCCCGCCCTCCTCGCTTCCAACCCATCCCTCTCCTCCCCCTGTCATTGTGTCATCTCTGATTTCCTGTCCCGGCGCTCAATCCCGCTCCGTATTGTTTGATTCCCCCCGTTCATCCAGAGCACCATGCCCCAGTACGCACGAACAGAAGACAAACAGGCACAAACAACGCATGTGCTATATGCTGGTAGTAACGCACGAGTAAGCACAGCAACGACCAGCACGTGTGGTACTTACTCCATGGGTTGTCGGTTACGGGTGGTGCTACTGATTATGTTTGGAATGACCCGCTTTTCCTTTTCGGCACGACATCCGTTTAAAATCATCTTCTTAAACTCTTTGGCTTTCGATGTGTCTGGGGGCTCGTTGGCTTTCAGTGGGGGAAGTCCGCGGGGGGGGCGACGATCGCGGAAGGGTTAGGCAGGAAGGGCTGTGGTTGGGCAAGGGAGGAGAAAGGGTGAATGAAGAAGAGAGATCCGCTGAGATAGAAGTTCAAAGACACACGAGGGGGCGCATAGAAGCGCGACAGACCCACAATTGTGCCTTTGAAACGACACGCAACATGAAAGCCACACTTCCATCGGATGGAATGGGGAGCCAGGGGAGGGGGGGAGGCTCTTACCGAAAGGTAGCGCAATAGAATCAGGAAGGTCCGTGGGTAGGCTGGCAGGCAGGCAGGCAGCTACTCAGGGAGATAGGCTCAGGTATTGGTAGCAGGCGTGGTAGTGTGCAGGCAGGCGGCACGTACGTTGGAAGGGAAGCGGTAGTCGTACTAGTAGCAGTCATCCGCCAGCGTGCCGCTGGGCACGGAGTGGGCGTGTCCTCAGGTCCTTTGCCTAATCCCTTAAGCACTCCTCAGGAGTCTTCAAGGGGCCCAGACCCAAAATTCTCGAATCTTTCAGTTTATGGTAATTGTGAAAGCTTAGGACTACGTTTCGATGACATCGTGAACGTGGATATTTGATCTTGCGATCGGGGTGGGGGCCGAGCCCCAGACGAGTGAGAGGACAAGAAGGGAGGACTCCACGATGAAGGGCGAGGGGGTGGAGGAGGCGGGGGCACTGGAGATAATGGGCGGACGAATCGGGGGCACGGCATCCAAAAAGACATGAGGCCTCGGGCGCACTCGGAACGCGGGCCGAAGTCGTCCAAGCTCCGGCCAACGTCTTCAGGTGGGCCCATGCCCACAAAGGGGGGGGGATCGGGCAAGAATCGCCCTTAAACCACCCCACCGAGCCTCAAGATCAGCAGGCAGCAGCGGCTGGAGGTCGGGGAGCCACGAGGAGGCACGACGATGCAGCAAGGTGGGGAGGGAATCGGGGAAGAGCGAAGCCTCGAGGGAGGAGGAAGAGAGGATTCGCTGCGGTCGCGGGCGGCGCTCCTCGGTGGCGGCCGCCGTCAACTCCGCCCTCGCCACCGCTGCCGCTGGGGCCCAGGCCTCAGGCCTGATGCCAGGTGGCCCTGAGCGGAGTACCATCTCCAGGAACTCGGCGATCGAGCTCCGACGCTCCCAAATCTCTGTCGCGAGAGCCCCCGAAGCCCGGCTGCCGAAAGAGCCGTGCATCTCGGCGAGGCCGCGGAGCAACTCAAGGCTCTCCCCCCACCCGCCCACCCCGTCCCGCCGAAGAGTGTGAGCCGCCGTCCGCCAGGCTGAACTGCTGGCCAGGACTCGGAGCGAGCGAGGGACCGCCGATCGCAGCCAGGACCTGATCCCCAGGAGCTCAGCCAGGCCAATGGAATTAGGAGGGAGGCGGAGGGGACGGTGAAGGACGTGACGCTCGGAGCGGAGGAGCGAGGGAGGGGGAGGGAAAAGCTGGCACACATAGAGGAGGAGGAGGAGGAGGAGGAGGAGGAGGAGGAGGAGGAGGAGAAGGGCGGAGGTTGAAAGTCAAGGGAGGAGCAGGAGGAGGAGAAGAAGAAGAAGAAGAAGTGACAGAGGCGGAGGCAGCAGGAGCAAGAGCAGGAGCGAAGACCACGACTGCGACCACGACGGGCCGCCTGCCGCACAACCGGAGCGCACCTCCACCGTGACGCCAGCGCTGGGCCTCGCCGAATCCTTCCGGTCGCAGTCATTGAACTTGGCCCTCGGCCCCAGGCCGCGCAGCCGCGGTGCGCGCATGCAAACACACGCATCTCGAGGGCCCTCGTTGGGCATTGGTCGAGGGGCCGAAGAACGTCCCCTAATCGCGCGCGCTTCGCGCTCGCAGCGGTTCTAGCGCAGGCTGGCGGGTCTGATAATAGCCAGCGTCTGCCTCCTCGTGCCTCTCTTCACTCTTTTCCTTCGTCCCTCCTCCACTTCCACGTCCTCCTCCTCCCCTCCGTCTTGTCGTCTCCTTCACTTCGCGGGACGGAGCGCACGCAGGAGTGCGGGAATAGTAGCGACGCGAATGGGGTAGCATGCGTGTCTCGTGTTTGGCTGGGGTGAAAGATGACTGTCCGAATGTCTGAGACCACCAGGGGGCCAAGATGACCCGGTACCATGTTGCGCAGGGACCGAAGAAAGCCAACAATCGGCAGACAGCGAGGAGGGGGACTGCGGAACGCTTTTTCATCTCATAGCAGAAACGAGACGATGAAGAATAAAATCATCCAGCATATGAACGCGTTCATTGGGCATCCGACCTTGAGCCCTGAGGCCACGGTTCGGATACAGTCTAAAGCTCCCAAAAGGCTCTCAAGGTGAACGCGTTCACTTAGGGCCTCTTGGGTGAGCGGAAAACACGGACTGGCTGGACACTGTCTAGGACCCCATAGGGGGCTCAAAGTGAATGCGCTCACTTTTGGCATCTTGGAAACCAGAGCCTCAATCAGGCTCAAAGTGAACACATTACCTTTTGGCCGCTGGACGGCCCCGCAACGAAGGGTCAGATACTGACCAGGGCGCCCAAGAGGCACAAAGTGAGTGCGCTCACTTTAGCAGCCTCGAATCCACTGGCCAGGTCCTGTCCAGGGCGTCCAAGAAGCACAAAGTGAATGCGCTGGCTTTTGGTCTACTGGGCGCCTTCAAACTGAAGGCTAGATACTGCGAGCGCGTGCACTTTGCGCCTAGGCGCCTTGAAACCACTTGGACCCGAAGTGACCGCGTTGACTTCTCCGGGTCCTGACGAGGGCCCCAAAACATTCCTTGAGTGGAAGCGTTCACTTTGGGTTTCCTGAGGAGCCTTGAACCTACGGGGCTGATGCTGTCGAGAGCCCCCAGGAGGCCCAAAGTGAGCGCATTCACACTTTACCTTTTTCGAGGCTTTCAAACTACTTGCCAGGCCCTGTCCAGGGACCCCGAGATACTCAAAAAGAACGTGTTCACGTTCACTCTTGCTGGCCTCAGAACAACCGGCGGCACACTGTTCTGGGCCCTCAAAAGCGCAAAGTTAATATATGTGCTTTAGGACTCTTGGGCGCCTTGAAGCCAGGGGCCGGCTATTCCACTGGACCCGCAGTTAACCGACGCCGACGAGAATAATCGAGAATTCATGGGGGTCGAGGATCGAAGGTTCCCACGACGACGACAGCAATGACGACCACGACGGTGACCACAGCAACGACAACGAGGATCGGCCAACGGCAAAGGGTCTGACGTCGACGACTCGCTCTGACGCAAGGCCTAAGACTTCCAAAAGGCCAAAATGAACACGCCTTCTTTGAACCTCCCTAGGGCTCTGGTAGCAGGTGCCCAATACTGCCCAGGACCCTGGAGAGGCCCAAAATCGACGCAATCACTTTGGGCCGCTTGAGGCCACACACGAGGTCCACAGTGAACGCATTCACATTGGGCCACATGGGGCCCCACTACCCAAAGTTCCAAAATGAGCACGTTCACTCTGAGGCTTTCAGGGCGTCCAGAACACAATCCGACCCCTGATGCCGAACAAATGAACAAAAAAATCTGCCCACGAACCCATACAGGGATATAGAACTGCTGGAAGATCATCAGGGCCGAAAGGGCCGGCCAATAATTTGCCCCGAACTGCCACGGGGACGAGCAACACGTCATAGAACACTGCCTCGGGCAAACACTACATGACGGGAAAACATCCATGGGATCAACACGTCGACGTGCGGGAGGACACCCGGCGGCGCCGCAGCGGCAGGTGCCCCGAGGGGGCCTCCCCCTCTGGCGCGGGCCCGAGGGCCCCGACTATGCGCGCGGGGGGCGCACCAGGCTCCCGGCCGATGTGTAGCGAGATGTTCTGGCCGAAGCATCGCAGAATCCCACACGCCCTGCAGCACGCAGTTCGACTCAACGCATCGCACCGTGGTCAACCCGCCCAGCACGCCTAAGTCCTCACCCTGAGCAGCTGCCTCCCGGCTTCGAGGCACACGGCTTACCCAACGCTCTGCACGACCTCTAGACCCCAGTGGCACGCACGGCTATGGCTATGGACTCGTAGCACGCTCAGGTCTGGAACAACGTCGCGCCCTCTCGTTATCCGTGCTCGGCGCCTTTGCGTGGCACTGGGCAGCGACGATACCGAATCAGGAACACGGTACCGCGTTGGAGAAAAACCGTGTAACCATAGCAAAGGCACATAAACAAGAATGATCTGGTGCCGCTCCACGCATCGCCCTGCTGTGAAGACGTCGACGTCCTGGCTGAGGACACATCCCACGACCAAAATAAGAAGATGCAGAGCCACTCGATACTGCAATTGAGAGCGCCCAGTCGACAGAATACCGACAAGAGTTCTGGGGATGTAGGATGGGACGCCCGCCACTCTTCCTACGGCAAAGTGCTGGACGCATGTTATGCCTTAAGCACCGCACGCTGCTGTTGGTCGCCGCTGCCAGGGGTCCGCCAAAATGGACCAAAAACCCTGGCCACCACGCTTCTCTCGGTACTTGGCCGAGGTTGCAGCATCCCAGGAATATAGAACTGCCCCATCTTGTCCTTCTCATCCCCATCCTCCTCTTTTCGCTCATCCATCTTCCACCCTCCATCTTCCTTCGCCTTCATCAGCGTCGCAATTCATAGTCCCTCCATCTTCCGTCCTCGCCCCTCCCATCCCTCTCTCCTCCAACCTGCCCTCCCCTCGTTTGGAGGATCACCCCAGAACTGGAAAAGAACTTCTGTGGACGCCGAAAACAATAATTTTTGTTTTCCGGCGACAGCCCACGTAATCCAGTGGGGGGAGGGGGACGGGAGGTGCTGGCCGATAACCGAACCTTTGCGCCTTGGGCAGCCCCACGAATGCCCGCGCGCACCAGTACTGCGTACCCCTCTCGGACTTGCGCAACAACTGACAAGGTCAGAACATCCAGGGGGGCGCGGGCAGCCCCGACAATCTGGTTCATCGCCAGACCCTAGAAGACAGTCTCCTTCTGTGGGCACCGAAAACTTTAATACATTATATATATATATATCATCTATATATAAATCATATATATATATCATAATTTAATATATGAAAAATATAATAGTATATATAAGATGGTGTGCGTAAACATATAAATACTTAGAAGAGAAGTATACATGTATAACAAAGCAAACGACGAACGAAGAGAAACGGGTCTTACGCGAGACGACAACGCGATCTTACGCCGCAGCTTGCGCGGGCCGCCAGCGCGGTACGCTACATTGGAGACGAGGGCGCTTCCGCGCGACCTTACGCGACCAGCTTACGCGCGAATGTCGGCGCAAACGACCCCGTGTTTTGTGTTGCGTCGCTCAAAGGTGCTTCTGTCGGCTGTGAGCCTGGGGGGGAAGCGAAAATGTTTTCCCAACCATCCTGTGGTGTTGGGTCCTCGTTTTGAAGAGACAGCGCCCCGCGTTCCTCACCACACCTCAGCTCACCTCCCGCGCTCCTCCCCCTCCTCCCTCCTTGCCTCTGCCCTCCGCATGTCTATGTTTCGGAACACCCCTCACACGTTTCGTGGCCCAGTAGAGGGCTCCACCGAAGGCCCCACCCATAGGCAGGGTTCGCATGCGTCCCCCCGCCCATTCCGGCACACCCCTCAGACGCTTCGCGGCCCAATAGAAAGCTCCACCGAAGGCCCCAGTGCCAGGGTTCGCATGCGTCCCCCCGCCCATTTCGGCACACCCCTCACACGCTTCGTGGCCCCGTAGGGAGCTCCACCGAAGGCCCCCGTTGCAGGGTTCGTATGCGTCCCCCGCCCATTTCGTCACACCCCTCACACGCTTCGTGGGCATGCGTCCCCCCGCCCATTTCGGCACACCCCTCACACACTTCTGTACCCCATGGGAAGCTCCACCGAAAGGCCCAGGAGGCAGGGTTCGCATGCGTCCCCCCGCCCATTTCGGCACACCCCTCACACGTTTCGCGGCCCAGTAGGGAGCTCCACCGAAGGCCCCAGTGGCAGGGTTCGCATGCGTCCCCCCGCCCATTTCGGCACACTCTTCACACGCTTCGCGGCCCCATAAGAAGCTCCACTAAAGGCCCCAGTGCCAGGGTTCGCATGCGTCCCCCCTCCCATTTCGGCACACCCCTCACACGCCCAAACCATTGATTTTCCATTGTTTTTTGAAGATTTCAGCGTTCCCGCATATTTCGACTCTCAGAGGTCCAGGACGGCCGAAACAGCCTCCGAAGTGGCTCCCAGACGACCCAAGAAGCCCTCAAGAGGGCCCCAAAACGGCCCAAGAGGGCCCCAGACAGCCCAAAGAGGCCGCCGAGATGCCCCAAGAGGCCCCCAAGACGGCCCAAGAGTACCCCAAGACAGTCTCCGAAGGGACCAGATAGCTCAAGAGTGCCCCCAAGACGCCCACACGGGGCTCCGAGAGGCCCCCAAGAGGCCTCCCAGAGGCCCCCAAGAGGCCTCCCAGACGCCCCGGCGAGGACCCAAGAGGCCCCGAAGAGGCCTCCAAGGGGCCCCCAAGAAGTTCCCAGAGGCCCGACAACGACTGGACTGTACGTGCTCTGGACGTGCACCCCGCGAGGCGAGAGGAATCAATCCCACCTAAGTCAGGGCCCCTGCCTCGGCTACACGCCACACGCAAGAGTGAACCCAGGCAAGAGTTTGGTGCGCGGCTTGCCGATCGCTGCGTGCATGCGTGGGTTTGCGTTTGCCCCCTCCCCCCTCTGGGGACCCCCCGAGAGCCGCGCACCAAAGGTCACGCTGGCGAATGGGTCTCTGACGTCTGTCTCCGGGGTCCTGATTCGCACCTCCGACGGCCGTTGGGTACGATACAGGCACCCCCGTCACGCTCTCGGCGAGGCGCAGCTGCTGGAGCGCGTCCCGAAGCAGGACACTTCCAGGAACCGACGCACAACAAAATCCGGCCAAGGGTCACTCTTACGAGTAGGAGACCCCCCCTGAGCCCACCATCGAACGCTCTCGGCGAAGCGCAGCTGCTGGAACGCATCCCGAAGCGCGAAACCACCTGGAACCGACGGAAAACTCCGGCCAAGGGCCACTCTGAATTATGAACAGCCGACCCACTCCCCTTCACCCTGCAGATCCTCCCCCTCCTGAAACTCCCCCCGGGAGCCCGCCACTGCGACACCGCAACGGGCACAGACGAGTGCCAGTAGTCCGCAGAGTCCTCGCCGGCGGGGGGGGGGCAGGACGATCGACGACGATCAAGGATCGACTTGGCCGCCCCGATACACAACACGCAACCCGTAGCGTGGTGACACGGAGCTCAACACGTACGTGTAGCGCGACATCACTAAAACGAGGGCCAACTCGTTGAGCCAATGTTAACACAGACGTTTTGAATACGTTACGTGCTGCGTTTCAAAGCGGGCGTATCAGGGCTGCCAAGAGGATCGACGATCGAGGATCGAGGACGACGGCGCCAACACGACGACGACGACGACGACGACGACGACGACGCCGACGCCGACGCCGACGACGACCATTGCGTCTCTAATGCTTGGAGGTGCTTTGAGGTGCTTCGAGAGGCTCACGTCACTACGGCAAGGCGCGGCTCGAAAATCAGACAGGGTTGACTCTGAGAGAGGTCCAAACCGAGCTTGCGCGGGATCGAAGGACAATGATCGAGGACGAGGACCGAGGATCGAGGCTTTGGGACTTCGCTGGCTCTCTTCAAACCTCTGGCGGTCCTACGGAGGGCCTCGGCAGGCTCGCGGGGACCTCCGCAAGACCTCCGGAGACCTCCGGAGGCCTCTGGAGACCTCTAGACATCGTACGGCGTAGAGAAGAAGACGCTGTGGATTCTGGCCTTATCGCTCATCTCTGGGATTTCCCGAGGGCGCTCGTCGCCAAGGCAAGAGCACTCTTTCAATCCAGTGTTTATTGCTTGGGCCGAGGTGTCACCTCAGACTGAACCATCACATGGAATGCAAGCTTCCCTGCTGCAAACTGAATGTAACAGCCGACGCTCATGCTTGATCCCACCAGTCCTCTGAGCGGAAATGGCATAATGCGAATATGATGGGCCATCTTCGCCGCAACCAACGACGAAGAGATACGCAAACCGCGACGACGACGACGACGACGACGACGACGACGACGACAACGGTGACGACCGCGCTGGCGACGGCGACGGCGACGGCGACGGCGACGGCGACGGCGACGACTATGGGGACTGTGACGGTGACCACGACAATGGCGCCGACGGCGCTGACGAAAACAACGGCATCGACGACCACGACGACGACAACCACCACCACCACGACGACGACGACGACCGCCACCACCACCACCACCACCACCATCACGACGACGACGACGACGACGAGAGTCGAGCGCCGCGGACCCACGCGTGTGACCTGCGGTCCTCGTCACCACCGAAATACGGATTGATGGAGTCCCCTGTGCCGTGGACCGCCAGCACGGGCACCTGCCGCTGCAGAGGCAAGTGATCGAAGCACATAGGTCGTGGTAGTGAAAGGACTGATGTTAGGAAAAACCTGTCCAACATTTAACACGTCTGACTGTGTGTTGGATGCATTGGTTCCTGCGTTTAGCAAATGCTGCCCCATCTCTATTTCATCAGCTGGAGCAATTTAGTCAATCCTCTTGTTCGACTGAACCGTCGTTCACCCAAGCACTACCGCTACCTGTGTTGGTAGGTGAGCAGGTGAAGGCCTCGAAATGAACACCAACACCAATACAAGGAGGTTACCTCCACCAGGAGGAACTTGTCCTGGATGTTGGCTTCTGGTAGAGATCTATCAGCCACCTAGGAAGCCCTAACATTACCACCATCGCCGAGATCGGGATCATCTTCCCTGGACGGCGGCACACCGCCGATAATTGTTGGTGTTGGTGTCAGCCTCTAGGCCTCCGACAGGGGGTGGCGCCGCCGCCGTCGTGGCCGCGGCCGCCGTCGCCGTCGCGGCTGCGGCCAGTCGACGCCGCCAGGGGGCCGACGGCGGCGGCGCAGGCCGACGGGGGACCAGAAAAGGGCCCAGTGAGGCACACACAAATAACCGCGCATTCCAGGATTCCCAATGTTTCTCCATATATCAGAGTGAGGAGGCCGAACGGTCATTCATTGTCCCTGAGTGCGTGGCTGAAATGAGGATCTTTGGTGAGGATTCTGCGTGTTGTGTTGTTGTTGCTGCTGTTGTTATTGTTGTTGTGGTTGTTGTTGTTGTTGTTGATGGTGTTGTTGGTGTTGTTGTTGTAATTGTTGTTGGTGGTGTTGTTGTTGTTGCTGTTGGTGTTGCTGTTGCTGTTGGTGGTATAGTTGTTGTTGTCGTCGTCGTTGTTGTTGTTGTGGTTGTGGTTGTGGTTGTTGTTGATGTTGTTGTTGTTGTCGTCGTCCCCCCTGCGACCCGCCTGCGACCCACCCGCGACCCACCCCGCGACCCACCCCGCGACCCACCCCGCGACCCACCCGCGACCCATCCGCGACCCACCCACGACCCACCCGCCCCGCGACCCACCCCGGGACTTACCCCGTGACCCGCCCGCGACCAACCCGCGACCCACCCCGCGACCCACCCCGCGACCCACACCAGGACCCACCCCGCGACCCGCTCGCGACCCACCCCGCGACCCGCTCGCGACCCACCCGCGACCCACCCGACGCGAACCACCCGCGACCCACCCGCGATCCGGCCCGCGACCCACCCGCGACCCATCCGCGACCCACCCACGACCCACCCCGCGATCCACCCACACTGCTTCAACGAAAAAATCGGCGCCTGCGGCGGGCTCACTGCATAGTTTGTAACAGTTGGGCGCCTGCGGCGGGCTTCTTCAGAGCCTCGCAGACTGACGACGCCCTCGCCGCGCCCTCACTCTTATCAGCAACTGCGGGGCATTTCCTGGATTTGTCTCTTCCGCTCCATTTCCGATGTTTTCCCACATTTGTAGTACCCGTGCTTGTGCCGATGTTTGGGCTGGCCGGGGTCCAGGCGTCACGTGACTCTTTACACAGGGCGCTCTCGCCGGGCTTCGGGCCCCCAGGGCTCTCAAGGGACTGATCCAGCTCGAGGTGGCGGAGGAAGACTGGCAAGACTTCGGGCTGCGCAGCGACAGCCCGCCCAGGTAGTCCCAGCGGGCCTTAACAGGCCTCCCGCGTAGTCCCCGCTGGCCTCAACAGGCCCCCCCGAGCAGTCCAGGGCGGTCTCAACACACCAACCGTGGGGCGCGGAACGCCCCAGGGGCGCTGCCGGAGGCGGCACCCGGGTGTCGAGGCCAGCCGGGACCACCTGGGGGAGCTGCCTCTGCGCAACCCAGAGCTCCGGTCGTGGGTCTGTCAGCGGTTGGATCTCGGGGTCGTCCTTGGAGTCGCCGCCGCCGTCGTTGTGGTCGCAGTCGTAGTGGAGGCCGTCGCCGCGGGAGTCGCAGGTAGATCCAGCCGTGGCGACGCAGGCGGACGAAGGCTGCGACGACGAAGATGAAGACGACGCCTGTGCCGCAGTGGTTGTCTTCATCGGGGAGGGAACTCACGAGAACAAAAGGGGCGGGCTTTGGGGGGAAAAAGTGGAGCAGGAGGACTGTGGTGGTGTCTAAGTTCTAAGGGCCATGACGACGACGGTGGCCACCACAACGGCGACAGTCCGACGGCTATGGCGCCGAGGACCACAACGAGGGCGGCGACGACGGCGACGACGACTGTCCGACGGCGACGGCTACGGCGACGGCCGCGAAGACAGCGACGATGACGGCGCCGACAATGGTGGCGACGACCGATGTCCTCTGGATGCCTCTGGAGGCCAGAAAGAGTCAAGGAAAGGGTGAAAAACATGCACATCTGCCTTCGACCCTCGATCCTCGACGACGGGGCACGGGCGCCGGTCGGGTTGCGTTGTTGGGCTGCGGGTAGCGGAGGCCGGCGACACCAGCGACGGCGGCGAAGGTGCCCGACAGTTCGGAAGCCACCCGGGAGCAGAACCGCGCACCCCTGCGCCCAGGCCCAGCCGCGCCAGCGCCACCGTCGCCGTCTCCATCGCAGACATTGCCGTCATCGTCATCACCGTCGCCACCGTCGTTGTCGACACTGCCGCCGCCGTCCTCACCGTCGTCGTCGCCGTCGTCGTCGGCGTTGCCGAAACCATCACGCTCGACGTTGCCATCGCCGTCGCCGCTACTTTACTGCCGTCGCCGTGGTCGACGCTGCTGGCGTCGTCGATTCTGTTTTTCGCCTGCTCACTGCCTGCGCATTGAGGAGCCTGCACGCTTCTCAGAATGTCAAAGTTCCTGTGCACATGTACCCGTGACGGGTAAATCCGATGGCGTATGGAAGATCGGTTTCGGATTCGTGGCGCAACGCACGGATATAATAATCCCCATGTTGTTCCAGTTTTTCCTCCGCCTGCCATTTCTGGGGTGATGTTTGTGTTGTGCACCATGTGTTTCCTGCACCCGTTTCCCTTATAGAAGCAGTTGTTCCCTGTCGCACCACCCTACGCATCGTTAGGGCGAGCTGGGTTCATCGCGTGGTGCTTCACTGCCGCCTGCAAAGTTGAAACATGAAATTCCCGACACAATGACTCGGATGGAAAGCGGGCAGTCTTCAATGTGATTGGGCTGTCGCATTGGCGCAGGGCACGCTCGTCTTACGAAAAACAAGAATTGTATGGATGGAGGGCGAATTGATGCCGAAATGAAGCTCTCACATGGCCGCCACGCGCATATGTTTTTGTTGACCGCTGCGCGGATGGAGGGCGGTTGGTTTTCAGGATGGGGCTCTCGCCGCGGCACCGGGCACATTCGTCGTCGAACATTTTCGCAAGTGCGCGGGTGGAAGGCGAGATGTTTTCGGGACGGGGCGATCGCTTTGGAGCCGAGCAAATTCGACGAAACAAGAACTCGACAGGCACACGGATGGAAGACGGGTAGCGCAACGCAGCGACAACGCAACGAGCTGTCATCGCCACAGAGGGCGGCCAAAGATGGGCGACAGGCGCGCGTGAACACGGTGGCTCTTCGGAAAAGGCCGCGCGATGCATTCGCGCCTCCATGTGAAGACTACGAAATCGTTTTAGTGTTTCTGACCGTCGGCGGCGGTGGCTGCGTAGGTCCACTGATCCCAGCTGCGGGCGGGTTTCAAAATGGTACGCCACGTGCGTTTTCGAAGTGCTGAACAGCCACACGGTTGGAAGGGCGGCTCTAGTTCGAAAAAAGGCGCTCGCCCGAGACGTCGCACGGCAAAAGGGGGCGGTCTGTTTCCCAATATTGAGCCCTTTCTTGGGGCGTCGCTCGACTTGGCGAACAGGTGTATCAAATTTGCGCAGCGGCTACGCGGGTGTAGGGCGATTGCTTCACAAGTCGGAACCGTCGCTTGGAACGCCCTTTGGAATTATGACCCCACCTTGTCACACCCATTGGTAGCTCGAAAGGTGAAGGGCAGTTTCTGTCAAAAAGGAGCTCCCGCCTGCACGGAGGAACCATAAGGCGATCGTCTTTCAAGGCGGGCGCTTCTCGGAGTGAAAAACACGGTTGGAGAGGGTTTACGAGGGGACCGGGGACAAAAGGGTGTATGCTTTGCAACATCGTTGATACAGCTTGAGTTTATTATGGTCCTCCCCCTTCTCTCCACGTCGAGCTCGATGGGTACCACCAACCCGCTGAAGGCGGGCGGCCCACATGCCTCCCTGGCTGTTCCTGCACCAGGGGACACAGGTTGCCCCACGTCGCCGTGCGGGGCACACGGCGCGTGTTACCGCGCACGGGCAACCTGGCCCGCCCCCAAAGGCCCCCTTGCTCAGAGGGGGCCAGGCGGTACACGTCGTGAGCCGTGCTCTCCAAGAGAGCCGACCCCCCTGGCCTCACCCGGCACCGCGACGTCAGGGGCGGGCCCCAACAGTGGCCAGAGACAACCCCTGCACAGGCTCCTCCTCCTCCTCCTCCTCCTCCTCCTCCTCCTGGCCCTCCTCCTCCTCCATTTTCTCTTCCTCCGCCTCTCTCTTCTTCATCCTCATCTCCTCCCCATCCCCCTTCGTTCTAAACAGCCCTTCGTCGCGCCACCAGGGTGCTGGTGTGTACCTTCTCGGGCGCTCCCGCGGGGCATGATGCACATGTGCACCCCGCAGATCCCATCATCCTGCAGCCTCCCAGGTGGTGAGCACGAGCCGACGCGTCGGGGGCGAGCGCCCAGCGGGGAGCTACCCCCCGCCGGCCAGGTAGTGACGGCAACAGCGGTGACCACCAGCGCCATCGCGGCGCCGAAGGGCAGGGCGGCAGGGGGGGAAGCGATGGACAGTCCCCCCCCCCGCCAGGTGGTAGCGGTGGTGCGCAGACTTCACCCAACCCTTGGGGCTGTCTGTACGCAACACCAACACTTTCCGAGAGAAGTCTCCCAGACATACGGCGCTTCGACGTTTTCGACGTGTAGGCCCCCAGACCTCTGTACCACTCTCCCAGGTTAGTTTTTCGCTATCCCGAATCTTGTTTTGACCGCCCGAAAACCGAAACTGGCCTCTGGAGGCCCAAATTAAAGGAAAGATTGGCCGCGTCGACTGCTTCGGGGCGCTGGACATCTGGGTTACCAAGGCCCGCCCGCGCCCCCCCCCTCCGAGAAAAGCCGGCGCAGTAGACCCGGAGGCCGTCGATGCAGGAGCTCCTTCGCACCTCCTGCACCTAGACGCTTCGCAGCGCAAGGGCAGCCCAGGACGAAGAAAACGACGACGGCGGCGGCGGCGACGACGAGGACGATGACGACACAACGACAATGACGACGACGACGGCGACGACGACGACGAGGACGACTACGACCAACGACGACAACGTTCGATGAAGACGGCGGTGGCGGCGGCGACGACGACGATGACGTTGACGACGACGTTCGATGACGACGACGAAGACGACAACGATGACGACGCCGGCGACGGCGACGGAGACAGCAACGATGACGACGACGGCGACGGCGACGGAGACGACGACGGTGACGGCGACGGAGACGGCGACGACGACCACGATGGCGACGGCGACGTCGACGTCGACGACGACGTCGTCGACGGAGACGGTGACAATGACGGCGACGGCGAAGGCGACGTGACGGGTGACGGCGGCGGCGACGGCGACGGCGGCGGCGGCGGCGGCAACGGCGACGGCGACGGCGACGGCGGCGGCGACGGTGACGACGACGACGACGACGACGTCGACGACGAAGACGACGGCCATGGCGACGGCGACGGCGACGGCGACGGCGGTGGCGACGGCGACGGCGAAGGGGAAGGTGACGGCAACGGCGACTGCGACGGCGACGGCGACGGCGACCGTGACGGCGACGACCACGATGGCGATGGCGACGTCGACGTGACAAGTGACGGCGACGACGAAGAGATCAAGTGAAGGAGGAAGGAAGGGGATGATGGGTCCTGGAGTTCTCAAGATTCCTCTGGACGGAGGTCCAAGATGCTTGGCACCCGACATCCCTGGCAGGAAGAGCCACAAACAGCCAAAATGCTCGGCCTCAAACCTCCACCAGGATCCGCTCACATCGGTTCCTGGAGGAGGAGGAGGAGGAGGAGGAGGAGGAGGAGAACCCGGGCTCCACCCTGGCAAGTCCTTCGAGATGGGCCTGGCCGTGGCGACGAGCACGCCCAGAAACGACCAAAAACCAACGCAACAAAGTCGTCGTCGTCGTGGATCCTGGATCCTCGGTCCTCGATCCTCGGTGCTCGATCCTCGATCCTCGATCCTGGTCGTCGTCGTGGATCCTCGATCCGTGGTCCTCCCCGAGGTGACTCGGAGAGCTCAGGACCTTTCCCGGGGCGCGCTCTGGCCAGAATCTCGAGGTGGAGCCAGCTGTGGCGACGAGGGCGCCCCCAGAAGCCACGAATCAAACCCAGCAACGCAAAACTCGATTCTCGATCCTCGATCCTCCTCCCCTCAAGACGATCCTCGATCCTCGACCCACAAGCACCACAAACAAACAATACCGATCCTTGATCCTCCTTCCCTCGCTGCGACCCCACGCCCACCCAAATCCACTCAAGCTCGTTCACCGGAAACCTGCTGGGACCCATGCTGGCCAGCTTTGTCTGCCCCAGACGGGGCCTGAAGCAGGGCTGAGGCTGAGGCAAGATCGTCTACGGACTGCCCTCGGGCCCGAAACGGGCCCCTGGAGCTGATGCACGATGGATGTTCGATGTCTGGGCCCTCCAGGGGGCCCCAGAAGTCTCTGGGAGCCCCAGAAGGTGCCCTCCAGAGGCCCTCAGAGGCATAAAGACGACCCCGACAAGGGGTGCCAAACCTCCATCCTCGACACGACCCTTGATCCTGCAACTTCGATGCTCTTGACCTCGCGGTGGGGGCGGTCCCAGAACGGCCCCGACGGTCTGCGACACCGAGCCGGACCGAGCCGGCGGGCACTCCGAACCCAACCGAGCCGCACCTAGCCGAAGCTTCCCTGAAGCACTAGCGGCATCTAAATCCAACGCAGCTTCAACGACTGATCAGAAGCGTTGGCCTAAATTACCACGGCGATGGCATTGCAAAAAACATGTCAAGTGTCGCGGGAGCTGCAGGGGAGGCGCACGCGTTGCGGGACTTGCATACACCGATAAGAAGGCGGGGCGGCCCGCGGGAAAGAAAGCCTAGCCCAAGGTCCCGGAACATCCAGAAATATCACAGCAGCCCTCGAAAGCGGCGACGGTTTCACACTTCGCAGCCCCCCAAGGATGGCGAGGTCTGAATCTTCGACGGGTACCCACTATGCTGGCCCCCCCAGCAGCCTTCGAAAGTAACGGCAGTTCCACACTTCGCACCTCCTCAAGGATGGCGGGCGAGGTCTCGTCTGAGTCTGCAGCGAAAACCCACTATGCGGCCCTCCCCCCCCCCGCAGCACTCCTCGAAAGTGGCGACGGTTTCACACTTCGCAGCCCCCAGGGCCCCAGGGATGGAGAGATCTAGTGCGGCAGATACCTACTTTGCTGGCCCCCCCAAGCAGCCCATCGAAAGTGGCGAAAGTTTCACGGTTCGCAGCCCCCCAGGAATGGCGAGGTCTAGTCTGAATATGCGAAGGACGTAACTCTGCTGGACCCCGCAGCCCCCGAAAGGGGCGGCAGTTTCGAAGATCGCAGCCCCCCAGGGCATGGTGAGGTCTGATCTGGATCCGCGCAAGACGTAACTCTGCCCCCCCCCCCCCCCCAGCAGCCCTCGAAAGTGGCGACACTTTCGCACATCGCAACCTCCCAGGGACGGTGAGGTCTAATCTGAATCCACGTAGGACGTCGCTATGCTGCCCCCCCAGCCGCCCTCGAAAGTGGCGACACTTTCGCAGATCGCAGCCCCCCCAGGGAAATGCCCCAGGGATGGTGAGGCCGAATCTGAATCCGCGTAGGACGTCGCTATGCTTGCCCCCCCCAGCCGCCCTCGAAAGTGGCGACACGTTCGCAGATCGCAGCCCCCCAGGGATGTTGAGGTCTGATCTGAATCCACGTAGGACGTAACTATGTCACCCAGCAGCCTTCGGAAGTTGCGGCAGTTTCGCACATCGCAGCCCCATGGGAGGTAAGGAGCAGACCAGCAGGAGGAGGACAACGAACAGGAGGGAGGCGGGAAGGAGGAGTGGAGACCGCAGTGCGCTGTTCAAAACGAGAACCCAACGCAGGAGGGTTGGGAAAAAGAGAGGAGGGGAGGGGGGAGGAAAGGAGGAGGGAGGCGGGAGGAAGGAGGAATGGAGACCGCAGTGCTCTGTTCAAACCGAGAACCCAACGCAGGAGGCCTGGGAAATGAAAACATGGATGGCTGGGCCCTCTCCTCGGCGGCGGCGGCCACACGACGCCCAGCGCGCGCTCCATCCTCAATCCTCCACCCTCGACCCTCGATATTCTACCCTCGACCCCCGATCCTCTACCCTCTACTCTCGATCCTCTACCCTGGATCATCGATCATTGAGCCTGCATCCGCGATCCTCCCCCCCCGCCCCGCGACTCTCTACCCTCGACCGTATGGCTGCTCTGCCCACTGTCTCGATCCTCGTCCTCCTCCTAGACCCTCGGCCCTCGATCCTCGATCCTGGTCGCAAAACCTTGGTGCCTGGTCCTCCTCCTCCTCCTCCTCCTCCTCCGCCTCCTCCTCCTCCTCCTCCTCCTCCTCCTCCTCCTCCTCCTCCTCCTCCCCTCCTTCTCCTCCTCCTCCTCCTCCTCCTCCTCTTCCTCCTCCACCCCTCATCCTCCATCGACTCTCGACCCTCGATTCTCTTCATCCTCCTTCTCCTCCTCATGCTCCTCCTCGTACTCCTCCTCCTCCTCCTCCTCCTTCTCCTTCTCCTCCTCCTCAATCCTTGATTTCCACATCATCTACCCTCCATTCTCGACCCTCGATCATCCCACCATCGACCCTCGATCCTCAACCCTGAATCCTGGATCAGTCTACCCTCGATCCTCCACCCCCAGACCTTCACCCCCTATCCTCCACCCTCGACACCAAACCCGATCCTCGATCCCCCACCCTCGACCCTCGATACCCCCACCCTCGATTCGATCCTCCACACCCACCTTCGATCCAATCCCTCCACCTTCGACCCCCGAACCCGCCTCCCTCGATCTTCGACCCCATCCACCCTCGACCCCATCGAACCACTCCTTCCTCGACCCTCGGCCCTCGATCCCCTCGGCGGCGGTGGCGGCCCCACCACGGCCAGCGCGTACGCCACGTCGTCCGGCCCCCCGTCGTCGGCGCGCGCGTGCGCCTCCGGGAGGTCGCTGCGCTGCTCGCAGCGACACGGGCTCTCCGTCCCTCGTCGTCGTCGTCGGCGTCGTCGTCGTAGTCGGAGATCGAGGCTTAAGGCTCGAGGCTCGAGGTCGAGGACTGCGATTGCTTGAGCGCCTTTGGCTCTGCTTGGGCCTCCGAATGCCTCCAGAAGACTGCAGGGGCGTCTAGGCGACGTCGATCGTCGTCGTCGTAGAGGATCGAAGACCCAGGTTCGAGATCGAGGATCGCGGCTTGGACGTGTTTGACAATTTTTGGAGCCTCCAAGAGGCCTCCCGAGACCTCCAAGGACCTCTGGACGGCGTCGGTCGTTATCCTCGTCGTCATCATTGTCGTCGTCATCATTGTCGTCGTCGTCGTCCTCGTAGTCGTCGTCGTCGTCGGTGGCGGCGGGGTCGGCGCCGGCGTCCTGCTCCTCCCAACTCTTCTCCTCCTCCTCCTCCGCATCCTCCTCCCCCGCCTCCTCCTCATCATCCATCCTACTCCTACATCCCCTCCTCGGCATCATCCTGATCCGTTCTCCTTCCGCCCCCGACGACGACGTCTTCGTTTCGGATCTGTTCCGCGTTTCTATGGGCTCTCGTCGCCACGACTGGACACGGCTCGAAAGGGCGCCCAGGATGGAACCTGGAACGACTCTGAGCGAATTCGGGATATCACCTTCGCGGAAAAAAGCGCGACACTCGAGCGCACACATAAGATGAAGCGTACGACCGAACCTGTTTCTGAGACGATTCTCCCAAACCTGGCAAACCAGGCAGTGGCAGGGAGGGTAGGATATGGATTTGTTTGGAAAACAATAGATGTGAGTGATCTTCATCCGATGCTACTGCGCAGTGCCATTTCAGGTCGATTTGCCGCTGGAGGGCGAAAACTACATGCGCCCAGCACACCAACACATCAACATCCGTGTAGGCTGACGGCGCGCACGAGGGGATGGGGGGGCGGGGAAGGCTTCTGAGGAGGCTGCGTCTTAGAAAGCGCCAGCCTTAGATCTATTAGATAAGGCCCGCGCCTTCTAAGAAGCAGCCTCCTTCCAAGAAGCCTTCCCCCTATCCCCCTACCCCCCTCTGCACTTGGGCGAGTAGGCTTGATTGTACTTCAGATCGAGGGTCTCTCTCTCTCTCTCTTTCTGTCTCTCTCTCTCTCTCTCTATCCAATCTCTGCCTCCGCGGGAGGCCTGCGTCGGGCGCCGTTGGGCCGTCAGAAGACGGCACGGGATGGAGAGAACAACTGCAACGAGGACGGGGCCCCCACCACAGGGGGCCCACGCTGCAAAGACATCGTGGCATCAGATGTCGGGCCCTCCGCTTCCGCCTCCTCCTCCTCGCCCTCCGCCTCCACCTCCGCCTCCGCTTCCGCTTCCGCCTCCGCCTCCGACGACGACGACGGCAACGACGACGACGACCCGCGCCGAGGAACGCGGTCCTGCGGGGTGGGGTCGACAGCCCTGGGGCCTGCGCCGCGACAGCACCGCCGCGGCGCTGGAGGCTTCCAATATACGTGGGGCGCGGGAGCCCTCGAGCCCCGTAACATTCTAGCAGATTTCGCGCCGTGGGTCGTGCTCTGTGTTGGGGATCCCGAAGCGGTGCGGTGACAGGCCGTGTGGTGCCCTCGAAATCCAGAAAGACGTCAGTCACCGCACGGTGTGGGGACTTTGGAGGCCCTGGTCGCCCGAGACGTCCTCAAAGAACGACCCAAGTCCCAAAACCGTGCACTCAACCAGAATCCCCACTGACTCATCACACGATGTGGGCACCGCACCGATTGGGGGCCCGCGATCTGTACGCACTGGGGGCCGATGGGGCGTCCGAAGGCCGACACGAACAAACAAACAAACGTTCTGACATTATCGAGGAGCTCGGCAGGATCAGTCAGCATCGAAGTGATGAGTCGGATCGGGTCTGAACGCGCGCCAGAACTTTCTCGTGGAGCTCGGCAGGATCAGTCGGCATCGAAGCGGCGAGTCGGACCAGGTCGGAACTGGCTGCGCCGGCACGGGGTCGAGATCCAATCGGATCTGCTGCGCCAGGTGCACAACTGCGCCATGCACGCATCTGGCAGCTTCGGGTCGTCGAGCATCGAAGTCGAATTCAAGAAATCCACGGGGGCCTCCGAGAAGTCATGTATACGCCGTTATGTTGTGTTCTCTTCGACTGAGCGCGCCGCCCGCTTCCCTTCATCCTCCGCGGCCGCCATGCGCCTCGCCTCGCCCACCTTTGTGTTTGGTAAGTTGCCGCATTGCGTCCTGTCATAGGGTAGGACGCACCGCGCGACCGCCAGCGGTCAGGTTGCACAAGGCAATGCGCAAGCAGCTAGCTTTCACTGTATGCCGATCCCTATGATGGGATTCGCCTTATCTCGATGGTGATCGTAAGAGCTCCCTCCGCCTCTGAGGGCGCATCCCTAAGATTGACATCGATGTTTGGCTTGCCAATCGAAGGGATAGAGGGGTAAGCTCGAGGCTGGCGAACTGCATTGAACTCAAAGGCGCCACGTGCGGGCAGCTGGCTCCCACGCCGGCCACGCACCGCCCTCCTGCAGCGCGACCGCCGGCGCCGCGGCAAAAAGAGTGGTGAGATTCGCTGCACGACCTCACCCAAGGGCGCCTAACTTCGCGCTTCGCGCTGCGCAAAGCGCGATGCGCACTCGCGCCGCCCCCAAGGGAGAAGAGGAAAAATGAGGAGGAATCGGAACCGAACCGCGAAGCGCGAAGCGCGCAGAACTCCGCGCCCTCGCGGGCAAACTCGACCTCACCTGTCCTTCTTGAAGAACGGCAGCTCCAGAGCCTCCGCTGGCTGCAATCTCTCCCTGTCGTCGAGCTGCAAGCATCTGCCCAGCAGGTCTGCGAGCTGCTTCACCCACGCCTCGTGCACCGACGCCTCCATGCCGTCCCTGGTAGAGGAACAAACAACGGCATAAACATCCATCTGTGAGGTCCGCGCGGATTTCTTGTATCGACGACGGAGGTGCGCCAGGAAGGTCCGACACAGATCCGAGAAATCCGCGCTGGCCTCCGAGAAAATGTTGTTCATGCCGTTTGTTGTTTGACCTAGGCGTCGCGAGCGCGGCCTGAAGCAGGCCGAGCACAGGCCTGTGCGGTCTGACCGTCTCCGAGCAGTTGAAGACGATGGGCTCCCCGGTCATGGAGTCCTTTCAGGGCCCAGGCAAAATTTAGGAAAACACGGGAAGTGGAGGAGAGGATGAAAACCAAGAGACGGATTCCAAAATGTTGAGAAAAACCTGGCATGTGTGTTTGTGTTTGTGGACCCCTTTATCCTTGTCCCTGTGCAGAAAGCCCCCCCTGCCATCGAAGTGCTTCTTCGAAGCCTCCCCGTCCGTCTGCATCCTCTTGGGGAAGCCGCCGCACACGTCGAGGAACTGCCGCAGCATCTGATTGTTCGTCGTGCCTGTGAAAAGGATGCGACCTGAGCGACGGAAAGAAACGGGTCTTACGCGAGATGGGAATTCCACCTTACGCGGCGGCTTCCGCGGGCCGCCGACGCGGCACGCCACATTGAAAAGCAGGGCGCTCATGCGTGACCTCACGCGGGCAGCTTACGCGCGAATGCCGGCGCAGTCGAAGCAGTTTTTCTGCATTGCTCACCTGTAGCCAGCTCGAATACAGTTGCCCCAGCGCTCCACAGGTCGATCTGGGTGTCGTACGGAAGGCCGCACATGATCTCGGGGGCTCGGTAGTAGCGCGGCTGCGCATAGGCTGTCTTCACCTGCTCCGACGAGTCCATGGCGCTGCCGAAATCGCATATGCGCACCTCTGCCCGATTGAGAGTCAACAGTATGTTATCTGGTTTGAGGTCGGCATGCACTACCTTCATCTTTCTCAAAGCTCGAAGCCCGAGAAAAACCTGCCGAGTGTACTGCATGAGGGCCGGCAAGGGTAGCCCTCCGCCCTGCCCATACCTCTGCAGTGCATAGCGCATGTCGCACTTGAGAAGCTCGAAGAACATGCACAAGTGCCCATGGTGCTCCAATGTCCCGCACCCTGCCAGGATGATCAAGAAACGGGCACCCTCTGGGTCGTCTTTCTCCCCTCCTTTGGCGAGCTTGCGGTACATCTCCACCTCCTTCTCCGCAGCGCGTCGCATCATGGTATTCCGGCGGATGAACTTCACCGCGTAGTCCTTGCTGGGGGTGGCCTTGGTGTCCCGGCAGTGGAACACGCTGGAGAACACCCCGCGCCCGATGCCGGCCTCTACGCGGAACTGGCGCGACGGGCCGAACTCGTCGCCTGGCACAGCGGAGAAGTACTCGTTCTCGTCCGTGCCGCCCAGGCCGTCGCCGCCGGCCGCCTTCTTCTCCGCGGCATCCTGGGCGAAAGACAGATCCGTATCCGCAGCCTTGCGGGCTGGGCCCTGGGGCCGCGACCCCGCGGAGACGCGGCGTTTTTGCCGCGGATGCCCCGCGCAGAACGTAGCCGTGCGACCGCGTATCCGCGGGAGCGCGCCCTGGAATCCAGACAGCGAGGGCGCGGATACGGAGATGTCCCCCGCTCGTTAATCCTCCTTCGAATTGATGACGAACAGCTGCAGCTTGCTCCGCTCCTCTGCGATGCTCCGCGTGAGCGCCGAGAGGCCGGCGAGGTCCAGCTTCTTCTTCTGCCCCCCCTCGGCCGAGGAGCCCGACGCCCTCGAGCCGTCTGGCGCGTCGGCGCCCGCGCTCTCCGGCAGCGCCGCCGCCCTCCTGGCCCCCTTTGGCCCGAAGAGCGCGGCCGCCGCCATCCACGGCGGCGGCGGCGCCTTCTTCTTCGCCTCCTCCACCTGGGCGACGAAACAGAAAAACGAGACTTAAGCGGGATGACGCAGCGCATAGCGACCCTGCGCCGCGGCCCACGCAGGCCGCAAGCGCGGGGCACTGCGTGGGGCCAGAGGGCGCTTGCGCACGCGCAACCTTGCACTGTGCACTTACGCGTGCCCGCGTGCCCACCCCTGGAACGGGGCTGGACCCTCCTCCCTGGCGCGCGGAGCGCGCCGGGGGCGGCGCCGGGGGCGCCGCCATGGGGCTCCAGCGCCGATCCGAGAAATCTGCGCGTGCCTCCACAAAGTTATGCTTGTGCTTGTTGAGATGACACGTACGCCGCAGCTTACGCGGACTGGCAGCGCGGCGCGCTGCACTGGAAACAAGGGCGCCTGCGGGCGACCTTGCACGGGAAGCTTACGCACCAACGTCGTCGCAGACGACCCCGTTTTGATGCGTCGCCCACCTGCGCCCTGCGCTCCGCCCTCCACTTCTCCGAGGCCTCCGCCTTCGCCGCCTCCGCCTCCGGCGTGCAGGCGGCCGAGCCTCCGTACCTGGCCTGCGCTTCCAGCGCCGCTGCGCTGCCGTGTGCGACCTGTGGGGGAACCGAAAGTGCAGGGGGGTCTGCGAACATCCCTGGAGGAAGAAAAAGCTGCATGAACAAAACTTGGAACTGCACTAGACCCCTCTGCCGGCGCCTCTGGCGCCACCCCTGGCGCCGCCCCTGGCGCGCTCCGCGCGCCAGCGAGGGGGGTCCAGCGCAGATCCAAAAGTTTATGTTAATGCATTTTTTTGTTGCCGAACCCCTCGCTCGTCTGTGTACACTCGCTCGGGCACCTCACACGCTCGAACGGCATCAAAGAACGCTCGCTCTACCAGGGAGGCGAGGAGACTCACCGAAGCCCTCGGAAGAAAACCGCCATCGAGGCGGCCGGTCACCCTGGACCTCTCCCGAGGTGCGTTCTGGTGGGGTCGGAGGATCGCGACGCATCGCCGATACATCGGCGACGCATCGCCGATGTCTCGGCGATGCACCGGTGCCGTCGGCGATGCATCGGCGCCGACGGCGAGGAGACAATCGGACTCCACATCGAGCAGCGGCGGCGAGGCATCGGCGAGGCATCGGCGATGCGGCGCGACCCTCCGACCCCATCTGCTCGGACCCCCTCTGGGGGGCCTAGGTTTCCTCCTCGGAGACCTGGGCCACCAGCCACGCGGGCACGGCCTGGCCGCTGGCGGTGAGCTGGGCCACCTCCGTCTACACGCACAAGCGACCCTGGGCAAGAGTGGCCTTTGGTGCGCGGCTGTTGGGGGCAGCGGGGAGACCAAACCCACGCGCAAGACGTTACGATCGCATCGCGTTGGACGATCTGGGGACCCCAGCGGGCCCGCACCAAAGGCCACTCTGGCGAAGGGTCACTCTTACGTGCATCTGGCGTTGGCAGGACTAGGTTTAGTGGGACCTGGTTTAGTGATGTGTACCCGGGAGCGCCCCCCCCGCCCCATTGCACGAATTAGCCGGAACTGCCGTCACCGGGAAAACAGCAGCTACGGCAGATCTGGTTGTCCACCTTTTGGACTTCGGGGCCTAATCACTAACCAGCTCCCCTTAACCGGGGTCCTGGCTCTACCCGAGTGTAGTCGACACCTCGGCCCTGGCAGCCTCCAGCCGGCGCAGTTCCACGGAGCCGGGGGCGTAGGGCGGGCTCACCGCGCGGCGCGGCGCCGCGCTCGCCTGCCAGGGGGGGGTTCGCCCCAAATCTCGCTCCGGCACCCAGGCACACCCCCAAACCCCCGACGTCATGATTTCTTTCACGACGTGGGCCCCGGGCCCCTGCAGAGCTCTCGACCCATTCCCTGGGACCGTTTCTTCATCCTGGGTCGTGTGTTTGGAAGGTCTCGGCGGGGCCTGGTAGTGCGTTCCCTCCAGAGGCTGCAAATATAAAAAAAACCTCCGTCGTAACAATTTCAAGACTCGAGCGGGTCTGGGTCCCAGGCTCAGGGTCGAGGGAAGAGCGCCCTCCTGGCGCGTTCCGGAGGGCGTGCATACCGATCCTGGCATGAGCAGGCGGGCCTGGCCAGGGCCGGCGCCGTGGCCAGCGAGTGGTGTGCACGCACTGATCCTGGGCGGGGGGTGCGCGTGGCCATGCCCGACGCCTGGCGCATAGATCCCAGACCCCCTCAGGTGGTGAAAACTGCATGACGGGAGGTTTTTTGTTTTCAGCCTCCAGGGGACCTTGCCGGGCCTCGGGACCGTCAAAAAACACATCGGGATCAACTGCCCCTGGGAATGGGTCCAGACCTAAAACCAGCGTGCTGATTTTTTCGAAACACGGCCCCCAAACCTCTCGACCACTTCCCCAGGACAGGTTCTTCATCCCGAGTCGTTTTGTGCACGCTCTCGGGGCCCAGCAAGGGCCCCGCGGGAGGCCGAAAAAGGCAAACACCTCCGTCGTAAGTTTTGTCAATATGTTGGGTCTCTGGGGGGGAGGAGGAGGAGATTCTAGATTCTAGATTCTGCAGAAAGCGGTGACCAAGAGCTAGCTTGGGCGCAGTAACAAAACGAATCCCGTTCAGGGAAAGACATTCCCGACTTTGGGGGCAATCCACGGGCGAGGCGAGACAAGGCTTCGCGCCCCTTTGCAGTGGGGGGCTCTCTCCACCTCCCTGCACGCAATCGGGACCTGCATTCATCAGCAAGCTTGCGCACGTTATCAACTGCATACGCACCACAACTCGTGCAATATATATATATATATATATATATATATCACCCCTCTGAACAGACAGTGCGTGCGAACCATGCACAGCAAGAAAGAGTGGGTGGCCCGCGGGGGTCCGAAGCTCCTGAACCTCCGCGATCACGAGCGGCTGCGCTGGCAAGCAGCCTCTCGGGCCCTCAACACGATCCCACGCCCCTGGGGCCTGAGCGAAGGAGGAGAGGGGAGTGCACGGTCGGGGCCAGAACGAACTCAACTGGCCTTTCTTCGGGAAAGACCGGCGGCAGCGCTGGCACCTAAAAAGGGTGCTCCGCTCCACCACAGAATGGCCAGCAGCGATCAAGCGTCGCCTGCGGGCCTCTCCAGCCGTGACCCCAGCTTTTTTCCTCGCAGCGGTCAGACCCTCTCGCGACGATGTGTCCCTTCCACACGTGAGGAACACCTCTCTCTGAATCGCCAGAAGACGCAACAGTACTTTTTCCTGCAAGTGGTCAGCCTCCGACACAGTGGCAACATCATCAGAGGACAACTTACCCCTTTCGGCACCTTCATGTGCACACAGGTCAGCAGCACGATTTAAAAGGAGCTCAGCGCTCGACAACTGCATGCTCTCAGCCTGGGCCTGGGTCGGGTGAGATTTTGTCCACCTAAGATCAATCTGGCCTGGGCGGGACTCGAGCCGATCCCAAACCTGCACCCAGATATCAAGCATCGTACTCTTACTCCTGATAATCTGTTGCTTGGACTTCCGAAAATTGCGAACAACTGGCAGATAATCACTAAAGACCAAGATATTGCCCTCCGTTTTCAAGAGGACGGCCAGCAAGGAGTACAACTCGGCGCGCGGCGAGCTCTGGAAACCCGTGGGGAGTGTCCCAAACATGCCGCCACCGACCTCTGGGGTGCAGCATGACAACGCCCCAGCCGCACCTCCTTAGTCGCCAATCCTTAGTGTCCTTCCCCCCCGAGCCGTCGATGCCCCAAACGCCCCCTTGGATCACGTTGTCCCCTTGGAGCACCCCAAAGGACCACTGCAGAACCTCAAGGACATCAGGCCCCGGAGCCAGAGGGAGGGGAGGGATTCACTTTCGGAGGAGGAGGAGGAGGAGGAGGAGGAGGAGGAGGAGGAGGAGGACTCCGGCCTCGGGCTTGGCCTCCGCGGCGCGCGGCGGGCTGGGCGGGCTGGGCGAGCTCCTGCCCCTGCGGGGGCGGCGCTCCGCGCTCCGGCTGCCCCGCCGGGGCGGCGTCCTGCGCCGCTCGCCGCCTCCGCCCCCAGGACCCCTCGAGTCATGAGAAAACGCGACGGAGGGTTTTCCGTATCCTCAGCCCCTGGGGGCCCCTCCTGCCGGGCCTCGGGACTGCCAACAAAAACCACTCCGGATGACGGAAATGGTCCCGTGGAGAATGGGTCGAGGACTCTGGGGGTCCACGTCACGACAAAAACATGACGTCGAGGGTCTAGGTCCGCCGTCGCGCAGCAGCGCCCGGCTGGACGAGCCACGGTCGCCAGCCAGGTGGCCCTGCCGACCGCCAGCGCTGCTCACGTCCTCATCAGATCATCCCAGACAACTCGGCGTCTCGAACAAAACCTAGGCCGAGGCTTTTCATCGCTTGGGGCCTCTCGGGGCCCTCACCGGGCCTCGGGAAGGTCAACACATGACCCAGGATGAAACATCTGTCCCCGGGAAGTGGTCGAGAGGTCGAAGACCTTTGTCTCGACAAAATCGAGGCGCCAGATGTCTAGGATTGGATCGGTCGCAACATGTCGGTCGCGAACAATCGGTCGTGACCGATCTTGACGCACATCGGTCGCGACCGATCCCAGAATTTGAAGCAAAATCGGTAGCAACCGATCTCGTCGTTCGCGACTGGAAAATTCCAGTATGCAATGATCAGGGTCGCCATGAAACTCTCGCGTCGTGGAGAAGTCACGGCGAGAGGTTTTTTGCTGTTTTCGGCCTCTGGGGGCACTCGCTGGGCCCCAGGACCGTCAAGAAACGACGCTGGATGAAAAGCCGGCCGCGGGGACTGGGTCTGGATGTTCGGGGGGTCCACGTCGTGAAAATTAGCCTGGCGAGATACCCAACCATATGCAGTTGTGAACACCGTTGTTGTATGCACCGCATTCGGTGGAGCACCCTAGAGGGCCACGAAACGTGTGAGGGGTGTGCCAAAGTGGGCGTGGTAGGCGCATGCGAACGCATCCACTGGGGCCGTCGGTGGAGCTTCCTGTGGGGCAACGAAACGAAACATGTGAGGGGTGTGCCAAACTGGGTGCGGCGGGCGCATGCGAACGCCGCCAGTGGGGCCGTCGGTGCAGCCCCCATATGGGGCCACGAACCGTGAGGGGCGTGCCGAAATGGGTGCGGTGGGCGCGTGCGAACGCAGCCACTCGGGCCTTCGGTGGAGCTGTCTATGCGGCCACGAAGCGTGTGAGGGGTGTGCCGAAATGGGTGCGGTGGTCGCATGCGAACGCAGCCACTTGAGCCTTCGGTGGAGCTGTCTATGGGGCCACGAAACGTATAAGGAGTGTGCCGAAATGACTGCGGTGGGCGCATGCGAACGCAGCAACTCGGGCCCTCGGTGGAGGACACGATGGTGCGACGAAACGTGCGAGGGGTGTACTGAAAGGGGCGCGCTGGGCGCACGCGAACGCAGCCACTCGGGCCCCCGGAAGAGGACACTATGGTGCCACGAAGCATGTGAGGGGTGTGCCGAAATGGGTGCGGTGGTCGCATGCGAACGAAGCCACTGGAGCCTTCGGTGGAGCTGCCTATGGGGCCACGAAGCGTGTGAGGGGTGTACCGAAATGAGTGCGATGGGCCCGTGCAAACGCAGCCACTCTGGCCGTAAGTGGAGCTGCCTACGGTACCACGAACGTGTGCCGAAATGGGTGCTATGTGCCCGTGCGAACGCAGCCACTCGGGCCTTCGGTGGAGCTGCCTACGGGGCCACGAAGCGCGTGAGGGGTGTACCGAAATGGGTGCGGTGGGCGCATGCGAACGCAGCCACTTGAGCCTTCGGTGGAGCTGTCTATGGGGCCCCGAAACGTGTCAGGGGTTACCGACATGGGTGCGGTGGGCATCTGCGAACCCAGCCAGCGGAGCCTTCGGTGGAGCTGCTTATGGGGCCACAAAACGTGTGAGGGGTGTGCCGACATGGGTGCAGTGGGCGCATGCGAACGCAGCCACTAGGGCTTTTGGTGGAGCTGTCCATGGGGCCACGAAACGTATAAGGAGTGTGCCGAAATGACTGCGGTGGGCTCGTGCGAACGCAGCCACTCGGGCATTCGGTGGAGCTCTCTGTGGGTGCACGAAACGTGTGAGAGGTGTGCCGAAGCTGATGGCGATGATGGTGATGATGATGGTGGCGATGGTGATGACGATGATGGTGATGATGCCAGCCATGATGATGCTGATCATGATCATGATGATGATGATGATGATGATGATGATGATGATGATGATGATGATGATGATGATACTGATGATACTGATGATGATGATGCTGATGCTGATGTTGATGGTGATGCTGATGATGATGGTAATGATTGCGATGATGATGTTGATGATGACGTTACTTCAATACGAGGGCCCAACACCACAGGATGGTTGGAGCAAAACGCGACTTCGGGGATCCGGGTCCCGCCGCGGCGACTCCTGGCGCCGCCGCTGCTGGCGCGCGGAGCGGCTCGAGCTCTCCGAGCGCGAGCGCCGCTTGCGGTCGTCGGCCGCGTCGTCCCGTCGTCGCTGGTCGCGCTCGCGGTCGCCGGCGCTCTCCTTGCCACTGCGTTCGGTGCCGCGACGGTCGCCGTGGTCCTTGTTCTTGTTCTGATCCTTGTCATGGTCCTTGTCCTTCTCTTTGTCTTTGTCCTTGTCCTTGCCCTTGTCCTTTGCTTTGTCCTTGGCCTTGTCTTTGGCCTTGTCCTTGGCCTTGTCCTTGGCCTTGTCGCCCTTGCCCTTGGACAGCTGCTGCACCCCCGCCTCCACGACGGCATCGAGCGCCTTCCCAGACATACGACGTCGCCCAGAGCTCTTGACCGTTTTTTCCTCAGTCCTTGTTTCGCCCTGGACCGTTCTTAGAAGGCACTGGGGCCCGAGGCGGACCGTTGGAGGCACAAAACCTTGAAAACAGAACTGCTGTCCTGCATCTGCTCCGGAGGAATTGCAGAAGCCTCGGGCAAAACCCAAAACAGGATAGATGCCCATCCTCCTCACCCTCAGCCCCCCCATCTTCTGAGAATGTGGCCAAAACCTCGTCAGAGTCGGTCCCCTGGGGCCTGGGGCCCTGCCGGCATCCTCGCCAGCTTTTCCGAGACGCGCCCAGCACGGAACCACGAAGGCCCCCTGCGCGCTGCCCACAAGCACGCACACCTGCGCTCCTCGAGGCCCGCCTTCGTCGTCGCCGTCGTCGTCGCCGCCGACGTGCTCGCCGTTGCCGCCGTCCCTGTCGTCGTCGCCCTCGTCCTCTCCTCCGTCGTGGCCGCTGCTCGTGGGCGGACAGCCTGTCTGTGTCCGCGGCCTCGCGGGCGGGGCCCCTGGGCCGCGACCCCGCAGATCTGGGACGAGGCTCCGCGCCTGCTCCGCGCGGAACCTAGCCGTGCGACCGCGCACGTATGGGAGGCGGAAAAACGCGTTTTCGATGGGAAGTCAAAGTTTCATTCATGGAAAAAGGGGCCTCGTTCCTTATTCAGGGTTCCTTAGGTCAACGCCCCGACTGTACCGAAACTGGACGGTCTTCACGTGTCGGGCCCTGGGAGGCGAAACTCGTTCGACACTGTTTCGATGCATCTCTGGGTGCTCGAAATTATTTCTGTGACGCTGGCATCGATGGTGTGTTTTCTGTGCATCTCTGCGCTAAGAGAAAGATCCACCCTGGCGATATTCGTCTGCGCGGCAGTGCAAGCCGCAACTCCTTTCGGACCACACGGGGGGCCGACGAAGCAAGACGGGCAGCGTACGTATCCGCGGGATGGCGCCACCGCATCCAGACCGCGAGGGCGCGGACACGGATATAGTAAGGATGCGCGGTAGGATGCAAGGGCTTTGGAAGGCCCTGTCGACACTTTGCGAGCGGGGCGAGGCCAGCGAAAGTGGCCAAGGATGGGCCGAAGGGGCCAGGATGCAAGGGTAACCTTGGGAAGTCGCTCATCCTTACTATGCGGATTGAGTGTATGTCCGCCGCTCGTGAGCTGTCGCCGTCCTCTGCTGTCTGGGCGTCCCCTAAGCCTAACCCCTTCCGACGTTGCCCCCGACCACCGCCCCTCCCTCCTCCGACCGTCGGCGTCGTCGTCGACGTCGTCGGCGTCATCGGCGCCATCGTCGGCGTCATCGTCGGCGTCATCGTCGTCGTCGTCGGCGTCGTCGTCGGCGTCGTCGTCGGCGTCGTCGTGAGCTGTCGCTCGTGAGCTGCCTGGGCCGCCGCGCTCGCATCGCCCCCGCCCCCCATCCCGGCGGCCGCTCCGGCCGCCGGGCGCGCGCCGCCGCGGTGCACCCCGCCGCGGCGCGGCGCATCGCCGGGCGCGCCGCCGCGCGCCGCCGCGGCCGCCGCCGGCGCCACCCGCGGGCCTGCGGGGCCCAGCGCGCGCCCGCTCAGGCCATGGGCCTCGAGCCGGAACCCTGCTGGACAAGCGCTGTCCACTAGACGCCAAAGGAACTACTCGCAGATGGCCTGGATCCGGGGCGGGGGCTTTACGATCCATGGCATGGGGGAAGGCATGGTGTTTTCGGACGTTTGGAGGAGGCATTTTTCGAGTAGTGGAACGGGCTGGGTGACGAGGATAAAATCGGGTGAAGGTGAATCGATGACATTCTGAGCCCCAGCGGTTCTGGAGAACGCATGAGGCGCCGCTGCCTTCTCAGAGTGTTCCACAACGCTCTCAGAGCGTTCAGAGCGCTGTGGAACGGATTTCTCCTCGTCCCAGCCCCGTCCGACAACGCGCGCCCGCTCGAGCCACGGGCCTCGAGCCCGAACTCTGCGGACCTCGCGAGCGGCGGACACATCCGCACCCGCGCCCTTGCGGTCTGGCTGCCGTGGCGCGATCCCGCGGATACGCGGTGGCACGGACAGGTTCCACGCGGGGCAGCCGCCAAAAGTGACCCGCATCCGCGGGGTCGCGGCCCAGTGGCGGCACGGCCTGCGAGGCCGCGGCCCACGAGGACCGACCAAGGTTCCCTGAGAGCCGACGTCTCGATTAAACGACCAGCGTCCCGAAACATCACGGACAGGGATTCCGCTGCGTCAAGCGGCATTTCTCGGATTGGCTCGATGCGTGAGGCTGTCGGGGCGCGAGACACTGGGCGACGACGCCCGAGGAAAGAGCTGAGACGCCCGGATCTCAGGGTTCGAGGATCGAGGATCCAACTCCCCGAGCGCTCGTTGGACTGCACCGCGCCACGGACTCCGATGCCGCCAGCGCGTGCGGCACGTGTCCTCACCAGCTTGGCGCCTCCGGCCTGGCGGTGAAGAAGAGACGAGGGTGCCGCGCCCCCTCCGCCTCCTCTACCGTCGCCCCCCCCTCCTCCGCCGCTGCTCGTCTGGAATGCCGAGGCCCGCGGATCGAGGACCGAGGCTTCCTGCGCGTCTCGTGGCTCGTGCTGGGCCCCACGAGGGCCTTCCTGGCGCAATCGGCGGACGACCGGCGCCGCAGCCGCACGAGGCCCAGCGCGGGCTTCGCGAGTCTCAACTCTACCCTGGCGTCGCGACGCTTCGTGCTGTGGGCCCCCCCCTCACCAGCGCTCGCTCTGCACCCTTTGTTCGGTTCTTCGGTTTCCCGACGACCGCGTGGCCCGAAACGGGCCCGCAGAGGCCGAGCATCGTGGAACACCTGGATCTCGGGGGCGTACAGCCGCGGCGCACAGAAACTCCAGAACCACCCAGAGACACCCTCGAACCGAAGGCCAGGTCCGTCGTGAACGCCGCCGCCTCCAGGCGAGGAGGGCTGACCCTGCTCATGTTTCTGGGCCTGGAAGCGGCGTTCCCAAATGGGGTGCGTTGGTAGGAGGCCAACAAGCATATGCCGATACCGTTCGCCGGAAAACCGTCGAAGCAAAGATCCTGTGGGTGCCCTCACGCGCCCCCAGAGAAGCCCTGTTTACTCGTTTGTTGGACGCGCGAAATCGGCGCATGCAGGTGACCACCCTGTCGCCTCCTATACAGCTTACCCCGCCGAAAAAACGGCCGCGGAAGCATTCGACGCGATTATTATCGGTGCCTTCTTGGGAACGTCTTGGGGCCCCAATACGGCCCCAGCGACCCCTCAGAGCGCCCCGCGAGAACCACAACAGGCTTTCGAGGGGTCCCAACGAGCCCCTGGTCCAAATGCAGCGTGAAATTCGAAAGGATGACTTCTAGTGCCCATTTGGAGGCCGTTCGGAGCTTCCAAGACGGCCCTGGAGAGCCCCAGGAGAGCCCCAGCAGAGCCACAAAAGGGTTCCAAGATGGGCCTCAGTGAGCCTCTGATTCATATCCAAGGCGTGGTTTTCGAAGCGATCAATTGCAGCCCCCTCTGGGGAGCCTTTTGGGGCCCCTAAGACGGCCCCATGAGAGCCCTTCCAAGGCCGCGAGAGGTTTCCGAAAGGATTCCATGAATTCCCCCCCAATTCTTGCAGCAACCCACCCACATGCACGAGGGGACCGTTGTTGCTACATGCCCGCCTCACGATCGTTTTGCTAGAATGCCCCTCCATGCACGAGGGTCTCGCTTCAGCGCCCGTTCACGCACAAGGGAACAGTATTGTGACAATCGCCCCCATGCACACATGGCAATGTCGCTGAAAAACGCATAGACGAAGGAATCGTTGTTGCTAGAGTCCCGCCAAACGTTCGGAAAACTGTTGATGCGATCCTCCTCATGCACGAACGCAGGTTTTTGCTTCAGCCTAGAAGGCCATGCACAAGGAGACGTTTTTACTGCCACCCCACTCAGGTACAAAGACCAGTTTCGAAACAATCAACCCTGTGACAGAGAGGGCAAATTCACAAGACACGCCCTCATGTACGAGAAATCCCGACTTTTGCTGCAGGCCCCTCACTGCCAAGGCGCACTTTTTGCCACCGTCTTCCCTCGTGCGCGGCGGACCGCTTTTGTTCCTCCCCTTCCGCCTCCCCCTCCGCCTCCACTTCTCCTTCCCCCTCCCCCTCCCCCCTTCCCTTCCTCCACCTCCTCCTCCTCCTCGTCCTTCTCCTTCTCCTCCTCGTCCTCCTCCTCCTCCTCCTCCTCCTCCTCCTCCTCCTCCTGCTCCTGCGACGGAGAGAGGGAGGGCTCGATTC